AAAAAAAAAGATCCTCGTACGGGCGCACTCATTGTTTCGCCCCCAGATGTTGGCTGCATTGGTGTCCGCCGCAGTATATCGCAATAACTTTGCCCCAATTCCGCACCTTTACCTGCATAATAACAATAGCAATAAGAATAAGAATAAAAAAGTGTCAGCATCCCCTAGGCGCTTCAGAAGAGAAGAAATGACAAATAAATTAAGAACACTTGCCGTGATACGATGGCATCCCGTGGAGCTTCACAACAGTCCAACAACGTGTCCTTCAATCAAGGAAATAGCTTTGAGAAGCAAGAAAGTGAGCAACGTCCAAAAAAGTTCACAGTGCTGAAAATACCAACTCTGGCACTGGGCATTCATAGTTACCGCTCACGCATCCATTTCAATGGCATGCCACTGCCACATGAAGAAACAGACTGTGCAAATAAGAGATATCTGTTGAAGTACGTGGAAGATACCTCTATGCATATATGTATGCCGCCAGGTTCATTGTGTCACCGCAAAGGAAGGTGAAAAGACATGTCCGCTATGAAAGAAACAGATGAGTAAAAACAGTGAATGTGCAGCCGGATGAGGCACGGTCCCCTTCTTCCTTCATTCCCGCAGAGAGTGCGAGCGGACAACAAGAGAAGGCAAACAGTCGGGCTCAATGCACCCAACATCCCCTCACGCCTCAAGCGACACCTGTCCAGCACAGCCACACACACACACACACGCAGAGCAGTGGACCAACGGGCTCACACATCCATCCACCACAACCGGGCACATCGCGAGCCCACGAGGCGGCAGCGCTTTTAAAAGTGTCCGACGGTTGCAGGGCCCCTCCGCGTGAAGCACAAAAAAGGAGGGTGGGCCGGGTGGAAGGGAGGGGGAAACAAAAAGAAAAGTTTTACTCACTGCCCCCCAGCACGATATTTCTGAAGAAAAACCGACCAAAGAATTAAAATAAAAAACGATGATTTTATTCCCCCGCAGAACAAATGTGGGAGTTAATTACACACAACACACGCCCACACGCCCCTTGCCGCTCCCAATCGTACAGCCCCCTCCTCCCCAAAGAAATCGTCAACAATGAAGAGAAAATGTCCTCACCAACACACACACACAAACAGACAGACAGTAAAAAAAAAAGAAAAGAAAATATTTATATATTCTTTTTTTTGAGATTACAACACCGAAGAAAAAAAACAAAACAAAACAGAAAACAAAAAAAAAAAAAGGTGAGTGGGGGGTAAAAAAACAAAAAAAACAACAGAAATCAAAAGGAAAAACAATTATTTCCCTCCACCACAAATCACTGCTTCGTACAAAAGAAAAAAAAAAAAAAGTAAAAACCACAGGAAGTTTTTAAGGACCCGAGTAAAACAAACCTAATTACAGAATGAAACAAAACCCAAAAACACAATAAATTTTACCAATGCTATTCAATGCATCGCCTCACCGTAAACGGCAAATGCGGTCCCAAACACAACACCGATCACACCGACAAACAGCAGAAAGTGCGTCCCGATGTAGTGAAAGTACCCAACCGACTGCAGTGTCCAGTTGCCGCTGTACATGTACAGCAGGGCAGGGAAGATAAAGCCAATGAAGCCCCCAGAGAAACCACCAACAAGGCCAAACACAACCGTGATGCTGGGGATAAATAGGCCACCAATGAGTGACAGCGTCGCCATAAGGCCACAGACCAGTGCGTTCTTCCACCATCCAATCGTCTTCACATCAACACTGAAGACGTGGTAAACAGCCTCACGCACTGGAATCATGTGCAGCCCGTAGCCAACGCACAGTTTTAATACCATACCCGCATAAGCAACGCCCATCATCTTGTCCTCTATCGGGTTGTACCGACTGAGGACGGAGCCTGTCAATGCCGGGCCAAAGTCCAGGTAGCCAAAAAATCCCGAGCAAAACAACATTGTGAATGAAGCAAACACACCAAGTGCAGCACTCTTCGTAAAGCGCGCAACACTTGGCTTGTACATTTCCTCGTACACCTCATACGCATTCAGCTGACAAATAAAGGCAAACGTGAAAACGGAAAGACCCTGAATTGCGCTGTTGCCAGTCCGGAAGTACACCAGATCATCACGCATGCCATGGGTGATAGTGTTGCGTACGGAATGGATGATCACGCAGATCACAAAGAAAAAGACAAATGCAAGAGCCAAAACGGATATGTGGCGCAGGGAGTTAATCTCCTTCGGTAGGCACAGCGGCAGCATGGCAACAAGCCACACCATGCTCGTAATTAATCGGCGGCCAGAGGAGGATTTCACGTAATCTGGGGCGCTTTGCGAACTATCAATAAAGGCGCCAATAAGATCTCCCATATATATCATGTAGGAGACCTCGCCACCAAAGCTGAAAAGCCACATGTTGAAGGCCAAAAAGTAGTCCGCACCCTTCCCAAGAAGAGCCCTCGTGACCTGCTCGTAGTTCCGCAGCCCCGTCCGCTTCCCCGCGATGCCCAGAAGAGTGAAGGAGTAGATGGTCAGCAGACCCACCACCACAAGGTACACCAGCGCCATCGCCAGCCCGGACGTGTTGAAGGCATACGGCAGCGCAAGTATTCCGGCGCCCAGCGATGAGCTGGCGAGGTTGCATCCGGAGGAGATGATGCCGCCGTAGGGTATGATGCGATGCAGCCCCCGCTTGAGGCAGCTCTGTGGGTCTCGCCGCCGGGCAACGCGCTCCTGACGCTCCTGGTTCAGTTTCTCAATGCGGATCTTGGCGACATCCATTCGGTCACCCGTGGGAAGCCCTGCTTGGCCCTGAAGGTCCTCGACAAGCTCCACACCGTCGTTCAGTGGATCGTCAGAGGCATAAGTCCTGAGATTCGTGCTCATTTTGTGTTCTCCAGTAGAATACGCTGGTTTATATATTGTGAGTAATCAATAAAAATACAAAAAAAAAAAAGATTTTTAAAAAAGATAAAAGAAATACACATATATATATGTGTTAACTTATGAAGTGTGGTGTGGGAATTATTAAAGAAGTAGAGCACAAATATAGAGAGAGGTGCAGCTCACACCGTAGACGTGGATAGAGCATCTCCAATAAGAGGAGATGAAAGTAAATCGATAAATGAATAAATAACCAAAAAGAGGCCTTCCCTCAAGTTGGGACAACAGTGAAGACATTTATTCTTCATTTCCCACCCACCTCTGAGTATGGAAGAAAATGGTTTGACATGTTTTTATGTGCCAACACGTCCTGTTTGTCTTCAAGGCTTGTAGTCAATTACGCTGCTGGGACTCCTGTGTCATCATGCCCCCTGGCAACAAGCAGGAGGTGCCATGTAGACGTCATTTGAAGAAAAATTACGTCATTGAAACCGGTGATGCCGCATTTCACCACTCGTCTCCTGCTTGCAGGTCAACAGTGCCGTTGTTTTTTTTTTTTTCTATAACGTCGAATGCATAAATGGACGTCACGTGTCTCAAAACGCCTGGCCGGTGCAGCCTTTTTCAGCCGTGCCTCCACATCCATTGGCCGCATTCCTGCCTGTAATGCGGCGTTCTGTTACGCATGACACGTTTGCTGCAACGCATTTCTGTGCTTATTGAGAAAAGCCCACGCATGATATCAAAGAGCATCAAAAAAAAAAAAGAAAAAAAAAAAGGGGTGTTGCCATCATCAATTAAAAGTACATCAAGCACAGAAATAAAAAGAGAAATATGTACACACAAACAAAATAAAAAGAAGGGGGAAAAAAAAAAAAAACAGGAAATAATTATTC